AAGTCTCCCCGAAAAACAAAGGACCTCCTTCAAGCTATTCCTGCTGTAGATGGCTCAAGGGCTGCTTAGGTGGTGTTTGGGGCAGTGGTGGGAGACACCCCTGGAAAAGTGACTGGGTGCCACACTCTCTCCATAACGACCCCTCCCCTATGCAGAGTGACCTTCATGAGGAGGGGGCCCCAGGAGCTCAGCCCTGTGTCCTGAAGCACTGTGAGCTTGGCAGTGGTGGAAGTGTGGCTGACGTGGGCAGTGATGGGCGATCCCATGGCCACTAGCTACCTATGGCTATTTGCAATTTATTTTATTTTATTTTTTTTTGGAGAGTTTTGCTCTGTTGCCCAGACTGGAGTGCAGTGGTGCAATCTTGGCTCACTGCAACCTCCACCTCCTGGGCTCAAGTGATTCTCTTGCCTCAGCCTCCTGAGTAGCTGGGATTACAGGCGTGCACCACCACGCCTGGCTAATTTTTTGTATTTTTAGTAGAGACAGAGTTTCACCATGTTAGCCAGGCCAGTCTCAAACTCCTGACCTCAGGTGATCCACCTTCCTCAGCCTCCCAAAGTGCTGGGATTACAGGCATGAGCCACCGCGCCTAATTCATTTAAATTCTAATTAGTTAAAATGAAATAAGCAACTCAGTTGTTCAGTTGCACCAGCCTCATTTTATGTGCTCAGTAGTCAGAGGTGGCTGGTGTCTACGGATTGGACAGTGCAGAGGTAGAATATGTTCATTGTCATAGAAAGTTACACTGGGTGGGCCAGGCACAATGGTTCACGCGTATAATCCCAGCACCCTGAGAGGCTAAGTGGGGCAGATCACTTGAGGCCAGGACTTTGAGATCAGCCTGGCCAACATGGTGAAACTCCATCTCTACTGAAAATACAAAAATTAGCTGGGCATGGTGGTGCACGCCTGTGGTCCTAGCTATTCGGGAGGCTAAGGCAGGAGAATTGCCTGAGTCTGGGAGGCGGAGGTTGCAGTGAGCCAAGGTCGTGCCACTGTACTCCAGCCTGGGTGACAGAGCAAGACTTTCTATCAAAAAAAAAAGGCCGGGCGCGGTGACTCAAGCCTGTAATCCCAGCACTTTAGGAGGCCAAGACGGGCGGATCACGAGGTCAGGAGATCGAGACCATCCTGGCTAACACGGTGAAACCCTGTCTCTAC